GGGCGCATCGTCACCAGCGGTATGGCGGCGGGAGGTTCACCCCCTGTTTCTGTCTGCAGGAGGCTGAGCTCGGCCCCACCAGGGGCTCCCCAGGGCCCAGGAAGGAGGGCGTCTGCTTGAGAGGCTGTCCTGAGGTCGCCCAGGCCAGCAGAAAAGATAAGGACCTGTAGCGGCCCTGAGGAGACTGCCTGAGCTGAGCCCTGCTGGCTCCCAGTCTACCAACATTGAGCACACCCGCTGGGACCAAGAGACTTGAGCCTTTAGGCGGAGACTTTTCTATCTTGTTTAATTCATGTACTTAAACTTTATACACCTTCACGCCAGCAGAAAGCACTGTTGCAGCAGGGAGAGAAGGGAGAGGAGAGGGAGGGAAAAAGATAGAGAAAGTCATACATTGAGATAACTGGAGATGGAGTAAAGGAACGAAGACTGCCCCCTGCTGGCTGAACGGCATACAGGCAGTGTGCTGGTTTTTTACAGTGCAGTAGCAAGAGCTGCCACCAGAGGTCCAGATCGACATTTTCTCTGGACCTTGAGACCGCTGCTCACAAGCCAGCACATCCAGTATTTTACACTTCAGATCAATCCTCCTCAAATTATTTCAGTTTAAATTGTGTACATATTATTTGGACAATGATCAGGGTGCTGTTGCTTTTGTTGGTGTGTCAGTCTGGCATCTGTCTGTAAGTCGGTCAGAGTCAGATTGGCTCTCTCTTCGTCTCCCTCTCTTCCTCGGTGTCTGTCTGTGTGCGTCTTACTGTCCCCTAACTCCCCACTGACTGTCTGTTCTCACAGTGTTCCCACTGTTCCAGGACTGTTTTCACCCTGCATGGAGTTTGGTGTAATAAATAATATGAGAATGAAAGTTAGAGGGAAGCTGCCCACAGATACAGAAATACAAATGTGTGCGTGTGTGTGCGTGTGTGTGCGTGTGTGTGCGTGTGTGTGCGTGTGTGTATGTGTGTATGTGTGTTTGCACAGACTCTTTTGCAAGAGCTCTGCCCTCTGAGCCCTTATCACCCCTGCCCTGTTCTTTGCTGATTGTATCTGTAGGGAGTCACTTCTGTTGTTTTTCAAAGGTGGAGATAAATTCCTTTGTTGCATGTGGCAGTTAAAATGAATAATTACTGCTGCTGTCTCTAAAGACACTGTCCCTGCCTCTAGAGACACCATCACTGCTGCTGTCTCTAGAGACACTGTCCCTGCCTCTAGAGACACTGTCACTGCTGCTGTCTCTAGAGACATTGTCCCTGCCTCTAGCGAATATTTGGTTTGGAAGTAGTGGGGCTGATGGGGATGGTGCTCAGGTCCTGCACTCTCACACGGTTGTTCTGAGAGAGGTGTGAGCACTCTCACTGACCAGGCGCTCGTCAGACCCTGCGGACTCGCAGGCCTGGCTCATGCTGATGGACCACAGTGTGATATACTGACAGCTTGCAGCCTGGGACAGAGGGGGTGTCACTGTGACCCCAGGAGCAGGAGATCTGCGAAGTTTGCCGAATCTGCGCAGCTCTGCTGAGTTGGTGCAGTTTGTCTGCGCAGCCCGGCAAAGATGTAAACGCACCAGTGGGACCTGAAGTGAGTCCAGTGCGAGGAGAGAGCTCACCAGCCCAGCGATTCACCTGGTTTCAGACAGGAGCCCAGAGCTGTCTGCTGCCCTCCTAGAGCCTTGCTGTTTACACACTTTCCCAGCTGTGTGTGTGCGAGAGAGTGTGTGAGTTTCACTCAGTGTCCAGAAAGGACTCGGAAAGTCTCAGTGTTCCCCTCTGCTCTGGGCCGGGTCAGGCGCTGTCCTGCTGGGGCGGCTGGTTCAGTGGAGCAGTTGGAGGTCCGAACAAAACTCTGAAAGTCCCAAGTGTAGAAGTGAAACTAGAGGTTTCTCTGTGCCGGAGAGAAGCTGCCTGGGAGTGTGGCTCCAGCTCAGCCGGGTGGGAGTTCCAGGCAGCGGAAGTCTGGGGGGGGGGCATGGGGCCCCCAGGGCATGACTGACAGCAGGACAGCGGGGTGGGCGGGGCTGACCTCTCGACCCTGTGGGCAGGAGGAGGGGCTGGCAGGGGTCTGGGTGATGTCATCACGGACAAGCCCCAGCAGCCCTGAACATTCCTCAGAGCCTGACTCCTGCCTCCACACCCCTCCCCCTCTCCCGCTCTGTCCCAGGCGTCTCCCTGCTCCTGCTCCTGTTTTCCCGGCTCCACACTCCCCTCCCTCTTTCTTTATGAACACCTCTTCTCAGTCCCTGTACCAGAGTCATCGTGTGCTGTTAATCCGTGACGTTTAGGCCTTGTGCACGCTGCACACACTCCCAGCCTCGTCTGCGTGTCACAGATTCGCCGAACAGCTGGGTGTACGCGCTGCACACACTGAACACCAGATGTGGATATACTGCATAAACACACTGAACACCAGGTCTCCATATACTTAATACATTTGCAGACTAAGCACCAGGTGTGTTTATGAACTGTACACTGAACGCCAGGTGTTCACAGGCTGTGTACCATATAGACACTCTGAACACCTGGTACGCTGTTGATTGGCGTATACCTGCTGCACCCTGGGGTGTCCTGTTCAGGTCTGGGGCCAGCAGCAGCTCCAGCTGGGAGGCAGGGAGAGGAGAGTCTGGGAGAAGGGGGGCGGGGGCTGTCCGTGGGCAGGTATCTACTCACATCCTGCTCCCCCGCAGGAGGAGGAGACAGAAAGAGAAAGAGAAAGAGGGAGGGAAGCAGTGGGGGTGAGGCTGTGCGTCAGTTTCGTGGAGCTCAGGCTCTGACTCAAGAACTGTTCACCTTTTCCGGCCGGAGCCGGAGCCGCAGAGGGGGAGGGAGGGCTGGAGGAAAGGGAGTGGCCTGACGGAGCTGCTCTCCAGGTCCTGGGACAGAGACCCGCCGTGCCGACACCCTGCCAGGACCGGGAGCACAGACACTGCGCGGGACCCCAGTCTGCCCAGCACAGACGCACAGCGAGAGCCAGGCTCATCTGCAGGCTCCCCCTGACGGCCCTGATAGCCTGGAGCTTCACTGCACAGTGCAGCCAAGACACTTCTCTGTCATCTGGAGCAAACTGAGGGGCTCATTACTGTAGACCCCTGGGGTACAGGTTAGTGCTGGATTCCCTGTCTTGCAGGGAGAACTGCTGTCTCTGTATCCCTTTGTCTCTGTGTCTCTGTATCCCAGTGTTTCTGTGTCCCCGTATCCCTGTATCCCCATAGCCCTGTGTCTCTGTATCCCT